GCGGCGCCGCCCGGCGGCGGCGGCAGCGCGTCCGCGGACGTCGAGTGCAGCGGCGGGCCGTTGTATTTGAGGCCGTCGCGGTAGCCGAGGAACGACGCCAGGAGCAGGGCCGCGGGGCTCGCCGGCGCGCCGCGGGGCGCCGGCGGCGGGCCGCCGGCCGACGCCGTCGCGCGCGGCGCGCCGCGGTGCCGCGGGGGCGCGAGCCGCGGCGCCGCCGCGGGCGCGGGCGCGGCGTCCGGCTCCGTCGCGAAGCCCGGCGCGTCGGCCTCGGGCGCGGGCGCGGGGGCGTGGCGCGGCCTGCGGGGGCGCGGCGGTCGTCCGTAGGCTCGGTTCTCTAAAGTGAACGGACGTCCGGGGCGAAGTCGCACGTTCCGATGAGCGCCTCTCAACCGAGTGAAGTCTCAACAGAGTGAAGTCGCGCCTCTCAACACTCTGGACACTGTCGCCCGCCTCTCCGGCTCGTCGCTCTCCTCGTCGTCGTCGGACGCCTCGAGGGCCGTCGCGCGCGCCTCGGGCGCCGCGGGCGCGGGCGCGGGCGCGTCGGCCGCGGCGGCGCCGTCGCGCGCGCGGCCGGCGTCGCGCGCGGCGGAGTCGGCCTGCTCGCCGACGCGCGCGGCCGCGGCGACGTAGGCCGCGCGCGCCTCGGCCCACGCGCGGCCCGGCGGCGCGGCCTGCGCCGCGTCGTCGGCGTCCGCGAGCGCCCAGGGCGGCGCGTCCTCGTCGTCCTCGTCGCGCCAGGGCCCGCCGTCGTCGTCGTCGACCTCGGGCTCCTCGGGCGCCGCGGCCTCGGGCGCGACGCGCGCGGACGCCTCGTCGTCGTCGCCGCCGCCGGGCGACGGCCGGCCCTCGGAGACGCCGTCGCCGACCAGGGCCGCGGCGAGGGGCGGCGGCGCGCCCGCGTCGTCGCCGAGCGCGAGGCCGCCCCCGAAGGCGCCCAGGCCGCCCGCCGCCGCCGTGCGCACGTAGAGCCCCGCCAGGGGCACGGCGACGAGGTCGTCGGCGCCGGGCAGCAGCGCGAGCGTCAGCCACGGCGTGCAGTCGTCGGCCGCGTCGGCGGGCGGCAGCTGCAGGAGCGCGTGGTGCAGCAAGCTCCGGTCGCAGGCGAGCCGCAGGGGCTGGGGCAGCTGCATCATGACCTCGACGTGGCCGAAGCCGCCGCCCGTCCAGCACTCCGAGCCGATGACGACGCGGTCGCGGTCCGCGCCCGAGTCGGACCGGCTCCGCCCGCGGGGGCCGCAGGCCTCGAGCGTCTCCGGCGAGCTCAGCTCGAGCAGCGCGTCGTGGCGCGCCTCGAGGACGACGTAGACGCTCTCCTCGAAGGCGAGGACGAGGACGACGGGCAGCACGCGCCCCTGGGGCGCGCCGTCGCGGGCCGCGGACCGGCTCAGCGCGCGCTCGACGCCCTCGACGTCGCGCTGCGCCGACGCGGACGCGAGGCGCGCGGCGTAGCCCGCGAGGAGGGGCAGGGGCGGCAGGGGCATGCCCCGCGCGGCGAGGACCTCCGCGGCCATCGACGCCGCGCGCATCAAAGCCTTCGGCGCGTACTTGTCGCGGCCGAGTAAGGCGCGCGCGAGCAGCGTCTCGGCCAGGGCCGCGAAGGACTCGTCGTCGTCGTCGAGGCCGTCCGGGTCGTCCATGTCGTCGAGGTCGTCCATGTCGTCGTCGAGGTCGTCGTCGTCGTCGTCCTCGGCCGACCCGCCGAGGCCGCCGAGCACCCGCGCCTCGTCGTCGTCGTCGTCGTCGTCGTCCTCCTCCTCGTCCTCCTCGTCCTCGTCGTCGTCCTCCGGCGCGCCGTCCTCGACGGCGACCCGGTCCTCGTCGACGACCCCGTCGTCGTCGGCGGCGGCCTCGACGGCGGCCTCGGCGTCGACGGACTCGTCCGCGTCGCCCGGGTCGTCCGCCGG